CCCCCCCCCCCCCCCCTTCCCTTTTCTTAGTTTTTTTGTTTCCCTGCAAGCCTGGCTCCGAAACTCCAAAATTTCCGAAATATTTTGGAGCCTTCCGATTCATTTCGGATTTGGTATTTTGGGCACCGAAACAGCCCGAAACAGCTGCCGAAATGTCACACACCCTACCAGTCTTCTTGTCATAGAAGGCAACCAGGTTGGTCAGGGGTGACTTGCCCTTAAGTTGCTCCAATTACTACTAGTATAATGAAATCAGTCCCCCTCTTTGATTTGCTGCTGATGTCAAGCTCTCCATCCCAGATGCTAAATTTTCTACCAAGCACCTCCTTGCTTCCTTCCATGCTTCCCTTTACCCTTAGGAGCAACTTCCCATAATTATCTTTATTGTTCTTTAGATATCTCCTAAAGACTCTTGGTGTCATGCTTATAAATAAAGTTAAGCTGCTTCTGTGCTGAGATCTCTCTGCCTGTCATAAGGACCAGTATTGTGTCCCTGTGATTAACTATTTGTTTCTGTCAAAACATTGTCTTATGTAGTTTATAAGCTGTCTGAAGTAAAAGGTATATTTTTATAATCAGTTTTTGTATACGGTGTAGCATGAAGCCCTGGCCTATGTCTAGGGCTTCAAGGTTCTGTAATATAAATTAATGAACTAGACCATTAAATCCATTTCAGAAAAATGGGATAAAACCAATTGAGTCTAATTTAATGCAGCTCTAGCTGCTTTGCTTTTTTTTTTTCTTGTGTAAAACTTGTTGTTCATCTCTGGCTGATTGCAAATCAGTTTTTAACAATGGTTTTATTTTAAACTATAAGATCTCATAGAGCATGTTTAAGCCACAGTTATTGAAATTGAATATTCATCTGCTTTTCAGATCCATTTCTTATAAGCTAATACTCTCTGTTTGCATTTCTAAAATGTATTTAACTTGAGTGCAAGGTAAATGGATGAAGAAAGTGTTATTTTGGGTAATTTAGATTATACATGCTCTACTGCAAATTAAGGCTTTGGTGAATCCCTTTGTAGAACAACTAATGAGATTCTTTCCTGGATGAATGCCTTCAGCTTTCCCAGAATCCTAGCGCTCTGTTGTTTAAAACAGTTACATGCTCAGCCCTTCCAGATGTGAACAAAGTATAAAGTGTTGGCATCCTAAGGCTTCTTTTACATCAAGATCACAAAGTTGAGTAATACCAGCCTCTCTGATGCCAGTGTTTCTGTAGTATCATAGCTGGCAGGCAGGGGGGTTGCCACTATTTTGAGATCCCTGAGATAAAACTGCTTCTCAACCCTCTTTTGTATATTTGGACAGATTGCTCACTTCAAAAGATGGGAAACTTGTTGGAGGTATGGTATCAGAAAGCATTAGCTGTTTTGCATTTGTAGTAGTAGAAAAGTATTACTTGAAAGCTTAGGTTTGTTCATGCTGAAGTGACCAGCAGGACCTGCCCACTAGGAAGCCAAATAGAAGTGGGTGTATTAGTTAGTTTAGCTTATTTTTCCTTGAGTAGGCTTAGTCCATAGATTGGTAGGGGTTGGTAAATTGTTCATGTCCCATTTCAAGCAATGGTGAAAAGTCTGTCTTGCGTTAATGTTTGTATATGAAAACAGTAATTAGAAGGTTTTTATGTGGTATTACTACCATTTTAGTTTAGTTTTGAGCTCTCCTAATACTAAAATGGCACTGTAAGAATTGGTTTTCTATTGGAGTCAATGGAAGATTTGTATTTATTTTTTAGCTGAGAGAACAGTGTCAGACCTGTTATGTATTGGTGTAGAGCTTCGGTATGGAGGGAGAAAAGAATGTATGTGGGAATGTGTTGGTTTGTATAACAGCTTTTAAAACTAGTGGGGGGGGGGTTGTTTTGCTTTTTGCATGACTGCATCTAAAATGTCTCATAAAAACAGAAATTAGTTATGATTCAAGAAATGTTTATGTTAGAAATATTTTTGTGAGGTGTTACATGTTAACTGTAATTCTTATAAATACACATTATTTAGTTTTATTTGAAAGAATAAGCCCAGCTTTACTTCCTTGATTTAAGTATTTCGGTTCAGCTCATTGAAATTATTTAGGGTATATATTTTTGAGAGATTAAATGCAGCTTTTGGGTACTTTATGCCTAACAGTATTATGTATTGGTTCTTTAAAAGATTAACTCTGTTTGCCACTTTCAAATGTTGATATTTTTGTTGTAAGCATTTTACATGCGTATTAATTAGTTTTAACACTGTGATAACTTCTTACATGCCTATCTAAACCCGGAGCTGAGTTGTGTCTCTGTGGGCTCTGGCAGGCATTACATTTATGACACAAGTAATGTTAGTCTGGTTTTTATCGCTCCTTAAATTGAATGTATGGTGTACTGTATTCCAGTTGAGCTACCCTCTCCATACTAATAGAGCGTAAGAACTAACTTCCAAACTAGTGAGTCTGCTGCATTATAACCTTATTTACTGACTTTACAGTATCTTCTAGTCATCTGTCCATCTCTTCAAACCACTTACGTAAAACCTTTGACAATTTTATTATGTCCTCCATTATGCCAGGTACCTTGCTATCTTTTTATCATCTGTATATTGGACAATGTTCAGCTAGTCTGACTTCCTATCTTTCTAAGACACAGCATCAAGCTGTGTGAAACCAAATCTGGGTATCCTCATGAGGAATTATTACCATTACCTACATTAATAGTCTGTCAGTTTTTCTTTCTTTAATATAAACACTTGTAGTGATGTTACTGCTGCAAAACTGTTAGTAATATGACTTATAAAATCAAATTACTTTCCTCAAAGCAGAAAATTCCTTCTATTATGTTATAATTTTTTATAATTTTGTGTATAGTAGTTTCTTAAATGTATCTTTAGAATTTACAAACATACTACAGCCAGTAGGAAAATTTTGGTTGTTTCCAGGGAGGGTGTCAAGTTTGGTCAGTTTTCTTGTTTATTCAGATTATGCATTTCTTGTGGTATTGCACATATATATGCTGTTTTACAAACTTAGATCTAAGTGTTGCATATTTAATGGTACCGTCAGTAGCCCCAACACCAACATTTTACATTTTGCCATGGAGCTAAAGAGTTCTAAGGTGTGGACTTCTGTAAACTGTTGCAGCAACTATGTCTCTTCAAGTTTTACAAGGATTTAAACTTTGACATTTGCTAAAGAGCCCAGTGTGGTTTTTCATATTTCAGTAAAGAAAGGGAAAGAAAATGGAAGCATAGGTGATAATTTGTTTCCAAAAGTATTTGAATTTCACACTTTGTTTTGGAATGTAATGGGGCTGATCTTGCAAAAGCTTTTGGCATGTTGCTAATTATATTAATGTGAATGGTTCCACTTAAGTCGAAGGTTATTTGGTATGTGTTACCGAAGATGCAGAATCTGTTAATATGGTTGCTTCATGTACTGGTGTTGTGGCTGTAGTTGAACTGTGGAAGAATACAGGAACTTTTCCGTTAAGAGGAGTTTTCTGCAATTTAAGCAAATCTAAACATAAGAAAAACTATAAAGAAACTCTAAAATTGGCAACTTTTTCCTTCCCCGACTTCCTTAATAAAGCAGTATTTCTTTATGATAAATGCGCTATTTGCATTCAGTGGGGCTATTTATATGTTGAAGTATTGCAGATTTTGGTACTTAGATGACTATTATTTAGATAAATATAGTGTGTGTTACTGCTTTAGTATCAGACTGCTTAGTAAATTTGGAAGAAAATTAATCTTTGTTCTGAAAGGTGAGTAAGTTGGGTTTTTTAGTTTTGTTTTTTTTTTATGAGGGCAAACAGGTTGTCGGTTCTGTATAAACAAGTTGCTTAAGTTTAACCAAATTGATTTTAAAGTGGTCTCTGGTCCTTTGTGCACACTGGAGTTCATTCTGTAATTATTGTTAATAGGATTTTAAGGAAATACTGCCATGTAGATAAAGCTGTAGAAATTATGTAAATTTCCCAAGGCAAAGCAAAAAAAATTGAGTGAGCTGAAATGCAAAATTTAAGATTTGCTGACTTCAGTTGTCACTCAGAACTTTAAAAATACAGTATAACCTCATGAATACGGCATGGACCCAAGCACCTGCCGAAAGTGTGAAAATTCCAGATTTTTGAAACCGGAGTGGCGGCCGGTCCTGGAGCAGCGGGGGAGAGTGGGGAGGGTAGCAGCTGGTCCCAGAGCAGCGGCCGCATGCGGAATGGCGGTGTGGGGTGGTGGATGGCAGCGGCAGCTCCTGTGTGCAAGGTTTCCCCTCTGGTGCTCTGGGACTGGCTGCCGCTACTCCCCTTTGGAGTGTCATTTTAAAAAGTACTGGATTTTCAATAATTCCAGATTATTGATACCTGGGTTTATGAGGTTATATTGTACTTTTTTATGAACCCCTCCCCCCATCCTATTAGTGTACCAAGTGTAAACTCTTATGTAACATATACCTTTTCCTTTTCTCTTTTTAGTATATTTTTGGGGAGTTCAGCCCTGATGAGTTTAATCAGTTCTTTGTGACTCCTCGATGCTCTGTTGAGGTAAGACCTTTTATCTAAAATACAATGCATGTTTCAGCAAAATGTCCTATAAAGACATTTTATTTATCATTTTCAGTTTAAATTTTTACACGAAAACTGATAGCACTTTCTCCCTCTCCCTCAATATACATACATAGATATAGAATCTAGAGAGACATAGTTAGCCATGTAAGTTTTAAGTTGAGTAGAAGATCGGGTAGATTTGCACCTTATAGATTAGTAATTCTCAACTGGGGTACTACCAGATTTTTTTATAAGAGTGGTGTGAGTAGATTATCAGATAAATTAAGCAGATGAATGCAGGTTTAGGATTGTCCCTGCCTGGAAGATCCCCCATCCCCACTGCCAGGGCCCTCTGCAAGGAAGTAAGCATTATAATCTGTAAATTTGTTTTTGAAGTCGGATGCCACTCCTATTAACAACATTTACTGAGGGATGTCTTGAGCTCCAGAAGGTTGAGAACCACTGATGTAGACCAGGGAAGCTCAACTCCAAGCCTGTAGAGCTGTGTAGTCTGGCCTATGGGGCTCCCCATGGGTCTGAAAATTTGATCTAAGATTTTGTCATCTGACGCTCGGTTTGTCAGATGCTGTGAAAGTAAATGTTGAAATTAAAAAGCAAGTTGGTAGTAGCAAGATGTGGTGTTCTGTGTTTGGCAGCAATAGCACCACTAGTTGTAGTTATTCATTTTTCTCTTGATTACTGCGTTTATTGATCTGAAGTCTTTTCACCAGATTTTTTATTATTTATATACTGAACCTTGACAATTCAGGCTCCGTTTTTAACACAATATGCAGGAGTCATTTGACTTACCAAGAAAAGAGCTGACAGAGTATTCTGCTCACATGAGGGAGCTGGGAATGAGGGATCAGCTAAATGAAACCAATAGTTCTGCCTTGATTGACTTTTCAGAGATGGAATAGCAACTCTCAGGGCCATTCCTGGATCTAGGCACAATCTCGGATCTCTTGAACTTTGGTCGGAGAATGGCTCTTTCCCTACAAGGACTGGCATAGCCACCTCTCACAAATGCACTAATCCACAAGGCACTCTGCCAAGGTCTTGCCTGCACAACAGGCTTTTTGCCAGCAGATGACAGCCACCACAAGGAAGTTGCCTGTGTGCCATCACCTACGTAGCTTATGTTTTTGTACAACATGAGCAGCGATATGGCTCCATTACAGCATCCATGCTCTTCAGGCATTGCCCTCTGGGAGGTACCATCTGTTAAGAGACTGCAGTAGCTGGCAGAAAGCTCTGGGTGGCAGCAGAACCTGTGTTGCTCTTCTAGCTAAGTGAAGAGCTTCTGTTATCCTAAGGAAGCCCCCAAATATCTGAACACTAAAAACTCTCTCAACTTGATCCATATATGGGGATGTGGAGAAATGCTATCACTCAAAATGCAGTTTTTAATAATTAGTAGCTACTATCTATCTTCTTAATGTGGCTTACTAAAATTCCACTGTAATTAGTTTCAAGTTCTTTGCAGCAAAAAAAAAATTCACTCTTGTATGTTGCTTTTGTTCCTGAAAGTAGTGAGAGAGGGTTACTAGAAGAATAAAAATAGGTTGAAAAACATCAGCAAAAGATGGGGAGGGGAGAGAAAAAGGATAGAGAGAGCAACAAAAAGAAGGTATGATGCAAGTTGTGAGTGGACACTGTCAGACTTTCATGGCTGACAAACTGGATGTAAATGCATACTTGCTGGATTTACGTAAGTTGACGAGGGACAGGTGGGTTGTGTGTTATCCCAGCATAGAGTATTGTGGTGGTAGGTCAGAGCTCTAGTGAGGTAATGTGAGCAAGATAAAATTGAGAATAGTTTTATTGTACTTGATTTGAGTTTTTTAAAACTCTTCAAAGACAATGTTATCAGGCTGAAACAGAACTGGGAATCCAAATGACAAGCTTCTTTTATGGTTGTGTCACAGACTTCTGTTTGGACTTTAAGCAAGTTGCGTGAAAAGAGATCATCTCACTTCTCATTAAAAAAAGTAGGCACTACCCTCCACCCTCTTAATTTGTGGTATACTTTGCTATCTGGGGTGGGGGGCGTTTCTAAAGTGAGTGGCTTGACAGGTTAGTGATTGTGATTCTCCTTATCCATTTCTAATTGTGATGAATTAACTGGTGCAAAACATGAAATTACAGTTTGAGAATGAATATGTATGCAAGTATAAATCCAAGGCAGTCGTTTGGAAAACTGGATATTAACAACGAATATCAGTGAGCTATTTTTAAAGATCCCGCTATGAAACTGATATAAAATGGTACAAATATTTTGCTTTGCCTTTTGGTAAATGTCATTGTTTTTTTTCCCATGTAGCTTCCTCCATATAATGAAACAGTTTCATGTGGTATTAAATCTGCAAGCGAGCTTCACGACGGTAATGAAAACATTTTTTTTTCACTTTATTTCATTTTCAGGTTGTTGGCTTTTCTCAACAGTGTTTTATGCCAGAGGCTGTCTTTACATGTACATACAAATCAAGCTGAACTAGTCATTTAAATACATTTGGCAAGGGTGGGCCTTGCTGCAGGGTCCTGCTGCCCCTGGATCCTGCTGCTGGCTCCTCCTGGGGCCTTCTGCCGTTGGTGCCTTGTCATCTTCGACAGACAGCCAGGGGCAGATTAGAAAATTAATTATTAATTTGGGGAGGCCCTGCAGGCCAGATAGGATGGCCTGGCAGGGTGGATTTGGCTCTCAGGCTGTATTTTGCTTGCCCCTGGGTTAAGGTGTATTAATTTCTTAGCCAATAGTATCCAAGGGAGTGATTTGGTCAGTGTGATATCTGGCCACCTTTGATTCCCTATCCTGAAAGACCAGATACCCATTTATAGCTGAGTCAGCTAGAGGCAGCCTTTGCTTTGATTCCAGAACCAGGTCTTAAACTCATATGGTGTCTTAACTGCTTTGTCACCACACCCTTATGGTGCACTTCTGCAAAGAGTTGCACTTTCACCTGCCCCCGGTGTAAAAGTTTTAACATTAGTATATTTTGGCAGCTGCAAAACTAAGATACCTTTTCAGCTTTTTGCTCAGTTGTCTTCATTACCTTCTGTTTCTGCCTGGTTTAGCTGTTTTTCTGGAAAACAAAAGTATGACTTGATATAAAATGTATTCCAGAGCTCTAGTTTAAAGTTTTACTGGTCATGATACTTCTCTCTCTTTGAATACACCTTTCCTCCCCCCCAACCCCACATAAACTATGAAAGGAACCTGCTGGGTTTCATATTTCATACATAAATAGAACCTTCTATGTAAGAGCATATAAGCTAAAATGGAATGAAACGCTCAGGTGGAGTTAGTGTAATAACACTGACATGACATATTAGCCATGTAACCACTCCATAACAACAAAATGTTGCTATGCTGATGGTTCTGTTTAGCAATGAATGACAGAAGTTTTGACATGTGTTAGGAATAATCACATTCTGACTAAAACTGCGTGACACCTGGTGCATGCTAATCGATACAGGTTTGCAGTTTTCACTCCAACACATTGACATAATGCAGTGTAACATCTGCAAGAGGCATCTTGGCACAGTACATTATTCTTCAGGTGCATCTGTTGCAGTTGACACGGAATTAGATCCTCAAAACACTGTAGGATGAAATGAAACAAAACTGTCTGGAAGCATAGTGAAGGATACAAAAAAAGGGTGGCTTTTTCATATTTTTCTTTTAAAAAGCAAGTAAATGTATTAAAATTAGTCTCAGAAATAAATGACTGTGGAAATGATGCTGTAATCCTCTACAATTCCTGTTAACCAGAGATCCTGCATGGATTTAATTTTTGGAAGAAGTCTGAATTACTTTTTGGTTTTCTCCACTTCAAAATTACTATAACATGAGTACTCTTTTATTTTTACCCCTGAGTATCTGATGTAGGAACTTCCTTTTAAAATCTCTTGTTTCATTTTACTCTCAAATGCACAATTCTATTCCCACCTAGAATTTAGCAAGCCAAATCTTAAGTCTAAAACCAGATTTTTCTAACTGGGATTTAGGGGGAAAAATGTACTGCTCAGTTGGTTTTTAATTTTTCTATTAGTGGATCTTAGCTATGGGAAGAAAATAGATTTCAATAGGTTTTAAGATAAAGATCTCAGGTTTTTCCCCTAAATATGTAATATTGACCACTGGTTTACTAATGTTAGATCTGAAGGACTTTGTCTTCAGTAATCAGTGCTGCATTTTACTCCTATAATGTAATGGGCACAAGAGCTACTACTAATAGTCCAGACTCTTGCTTAAACTAAAAAATATGATAAAAATAATTCAAAATCAGTGCAACTCCTTGTAATGTATTTCATTGTATTTGGTGTGGAATAGAGCTTTGAGAAGTTGTGTGATCGCACGCAACATGATTAGCTGTGTTTAGGTAGTGGGTTGAGCTCAGCCATGAACTGAACCGACTAATTGTTAGTGTTCTTGCCTGTTGTGGGAGCAGCTTCTAAATGTTTTACAAATTTTTTTTTGCCACAAAAGATGAATAAAAGTACATTTCTGTGACTTCTCTACCCCCTGAAAGGAAGGTATGCCCTTTTAAAAATAAACACTTTTGCTAGCCTGTTTTTCTTTCTACGTAATCATCTGGAAAATAAGTTATACGTTACTGTGCTAGTAGTTTTCAACCATTTTTTATTTGTGGACCCCTAAAACATTTTGAGTGGAGATGCCGGACGCCTTTGGAAGTTTCAAAGGGAGGTGTGGACCCTTTTGAATTGTACGTGTGGGCATTCACATGCTTTTGGTTGATCATAGTCATCTTTTTCAAACCTTTTAGACATAGTCTGAGGACCCCCAGGGATCCACAGACCACAGGTTGTACACATCTGCCTATCCAATGCATAACAGTCATATGATATCAAATTATACCAGTATAAGGTGCAGCTTCTGTCTGCATGCTCCTGTACCAGTACAAGTGTAGCAGAATCATCACTCCTTTTAACCTTTATTCTTTCAAGGTTAATGATCTAGCAATTTAACTAAACTTGTAGTGCTTCAGGAGCATGCAGACCAGTTAGACTGTAACAGCTGATCCATGCTTCTGAGTGTCAGCCCTTCCTCCCCTTTTTAAAATGGTTAAAAGTTACTTTTTTCTATAACCTATCATATGTGTATTCCTTTTGAAATAGCGTTCATTGTTGTTTGATCTTTTCCCTGTAGAATTCTTATTCAACTAAAACATTATGGCAACACAAAGCTAGCAATTTCAAGACTATTGAAACAGTAACGTATGCATCACAGACATTTATATTTAACTGTTTTCTAATTTAAATATTAAAATATGAATTCATTCTGGAAACTACTTAAGTTTAGGATTTTATTAATCCTGTATGCTTAATTATATTATTTCTATTTAGTTTTAATGAAAGTTACTGTAGTGGTTATACAGGTACACAGTCACTTAATGTTGTCCCGGTTAATGTTATTTTGTTACTATGTTGCTGATCTATTAAAGGACATACTTGTTTGGCAATGTTTGGTTATAATGTTTAGCTGCTGCCTGCTGGTAGGTAACTACTGTGATGTAATTGGATTCCCTTAACATGGTTTTGCTTAGTTGCATTTTTCAAGAACATAACTATGATGTTAAGTGAAGAGTAGCTGTGCATTTTAAATATCAGGGTAGCCTAAGGCATGCAGTGTTACTGATTTTATAAAGTATCGCTAAAATACACATGCTGCAATTTTACCAAATTCCATACATTTGTAACATACTTTGATATCATTTTATAGCGGTGTTAAGACGTTCTGTTTAAAAATGCCTGACAGCATATTGTGAATTTTAGTTTATTATGATAATATTTCTTAGTGCACATCATATTTGCTATATATATGTTATTATAAAAATAAATGAAGAATCTTCATGGTCACCAATAGCATTTTAAGTGTAAGATTGTGGCTGGCTTTAATTCAGTTGTATTTCTTAAAACACATGAAATAGATGCAGTATCTTTTCATTATAAAACTGTTTATAACTCTGTGTCTCAAACTTGAAATTGTAAAAATTCTGTCTAGTTAAATTTTAAAATACTTGGTCATTTGTGGTTGATGCCTTAAGGTTGTAATTGTTCACTGCCTCTTTCTTTCCCTCTTCGTCCTCCCTCCTGGAATAATTGCCACCTGAGTCTGTTTAAAAATTCTATTCTTTATTATAACTATAAAAATTATTTTAATAGTGTGGCATCTTTGACTGGGAATAGTAGTTTGGTATTTCACCATACTCTCTAGGCCCCATCTTTTAGTTAAATATATGTAGACTATTATACTCATTGGGTACATCTACATATGCCTTAAGGTGCTTTTCCTAATTGTCACGGAGTGGGGCCTAGGAGTGGCTGTGATCCCTCTAGCGCTCCCCCTGCCGTGTCAAGTAGGTGATCCAGCACCCTCTTTTCTCACCCGCCACGTCTTGTTGGTATATATAAGTTTCTATGGGAGGCTGCCTTTGATCCCCTTGTACACGGTGCTATGCTGATACTGTCCCCATTCCATATGGAGTGACCAGGTGCACCCCAGCCTTATGGGCTATGCGTGCCTCCTACCTCCCCTTTAGCACGCCCCAAGCCTTGCAGCTCTTCCAGACGTTATCTGGTCCGTTTCCTTTCTGCACCCTGCCAGGTGCCCTTGGGCTTGTCACGCAACCGGCGCCTCTCTCTAGCGCCCCTGGGCTTG